TTTTTTCCGGACAGGATTTCAGTTGTATTGAAGACAGTTAAGTCCTGATGCATGCAAGTTCACACTTATGGTCGTAACCACTTTTTCCCAAGAGCCAGCTTAAGTTACTGTTTGAAGCACCAGACATCCAATAAACATGACCCTGGAAACTTTCATCTACAAGTAAGTGCTTTTTTCAATCAAGGGAACACGTTGCGTTTCAAAGCTTAGGCGAAACAAATAAAGGGACGCAAGTTTCATTTTCCAAAGTCTTGAAAGCAAATGAATTCCAATAATTGGAGCACAGGATGACACAGCGTTCCGCAGTACTTAACGCTGTCCGTGGCCGCGCTGACTGCTTACTGGCCCGGGATCATCCAGCCATTCCTGCATCTCTACTGAGATCCGCAGACCCCAGCCCCGTTCCACTAGTTGTGGCTGGTACCACACCAGGGCGTGGGACGGCATTTGCAAGGACGGTGCCAACCCCCTGCCGCGAGGACAAATGACCTTTGTGAACAATCCCGTCAGCATAAATATAAACACCGTTAAAAAATGCAACACGCTTCCTCGCTTTATCCGTCAAGGGGGACACATCGTTTACTTTCGATATCCCGGAAAAAGTAGACTTACGGCTCATGAGAAACGGTCTACTCAGTTCTTGTGGTCGCGGTTTCTCTGCAGTTGACGAAATCCTCACCCATGCTCTTTCCGATATTGTAGGCGACAACTAACTCCCGATTTATCATCCAGTCCAATAAACCTTACTGTGAAATATCCATCATCAGGTACCTGGTTTCTGCGGAATTTGAGGTGGAGATTAGACTGGGGATTTTTTTTCAGGGAAACCGTCGACTCACGTTGGTTTATGAACATGTATCGGAGCGGAAGAGATTAAGGCTGCAAGCGAGCCATTCGCCCCACTCCGGCCCGATCAGTGGAGTGAGTCTAGTGAGCCTCAGACCGAGGCGCTCAGAGGAAGTCACACTCCAATGAGTTATCAGCAAACGAAATCACGTGGATAGTCTAAGGAATTTCTCCTGTGCAATTCCTCAGGGAGTGTCTGCCCACATTAGCCTGTCTCGTCAGCCGATTTTTCCTGTTTCGGATGGTTTGGAGCGGTGTGCTGGCTGCGGTGAAAGAAGTCGATTTCGGATGGAATAGACCATTTGAAGTTGCCCTGGCGTCTCCGTCGTTCAACAAGCAGCATCTAGTTGGCTGATTTACATTTCTCTGTCGTCCCATTCTCCTGTGCCACGGTTACCGCACAGTTTATTTCCAAGTAACGATTCAGATGTTTTCGAAAAGCTCTGCCATTATAGCCCTGGACATTTATTTACGTGTCTAGAGATGACATTTTTCTGACTTCAATCTCCTCTCCTCAATGCCAGCGTGTCCGCTGAACTTTAACTGGTGATCCTATGTGACGTCTACGTAGTTTTCGGTCGAGATGAAAACAGCGTCTGATTGTTGGTGGGCGTCGTCGATTAAGAACATGCTAAAACCGCATCGTCGCACTTTGTTTCCCCTTCGTTCTCGTTCGGCAAAATGTATTTTTCTTAGATGGAAGGGACCTCCCACCGCCCGCCTACTGCAGATTTCAGTTGGCCTGAAAACTATGACGCCTAGCACAGATGTCGGAAGGGACTATCAATGGGGGAATTTTGCTAGTGGTTCGGCCAGGCTGGACTACCAGATGGGTGTTCTAGCATTCTGATCACCACCGGGCACCCCAGCTACCTTCAGTTTAGAAAAATCCAGTATCACCATAGATCGCTTGTTTTTGGCGTGGATGGTGAGGTGGCACAGCACCGAAGAATACTACCTTCAGGCACATGTACGGGCGTCGGAAACCTAGTCTCCCTCGTGCATTTACAAGTACTTGGACAGCGTGCAAAGGTTGGTATCATTCTCTGATGCGAAGGACGAAGTAGGCCTAAATGAATACAACCTCATTGACAGAAATGTACCAGCTGACCATATGCTGCCGGCACTATCAGAGTGCGATTGTTCGAAGTCTGGCACAACTTCCGTGCTGCAAAATACATCAAAGTTTTATGCATGCACTGCGACGTGTCGGCTATGTACAACCGACAGATAGGCTTGTTTGCCATTGTTGTTTTGCTGCTAGGTACCACAGAGTCAACGTGCTGGAGGCGATATCTCCATGCAAATAATCCAATGACCTTTGGGTAAACACCTAATTTAAACCTCCCAAAAAGGTCCTACATTAAATAGTGAAGGCTAAAGTCCTTCGCATCCAGGAGCTGTCATTTAGAGCGGATAGTAAACAAGCTGAACTGTTCATCTGGGAATGTTAATATTGCATTCCTGAAGTAACTATCCTTCCTCAGGACTGGTTTTCAGGAGCTGATAGAAAGCAGGTTTGATCAGTACTACTTGAATTTCTGCTGCCTATCCGAACCAAACATTTTGAACCTCCGTGAACTCAAGCCATTGGAATTGAACCCTTGCGTATCTCTATCACAGCGGTTCTTCACATTCTCCCGGTAGACACGATTTCGCGCTGTCCCTTAAATATAGTTTCTACCGTGCCAAGTTAGCAGTGGATACTATTCTCGAGTATGTGGCAGAAACGGTGTTGCCGTCGTTTGTATTTATGAAGGCGGTATGTCCAAAACCATGCACACGATTGGACTAGGCTATATGTGTCACTGTGTAAAACAAATGAAGATCATTGACACGTTAACTTATGTCGGCGGACCATTCTTCCTGTGATCCCTTTCAGCTATCATATTGGATCTCAGCGTTTTCAATAACACGCAGGTAGGCACAGTGTCTTACTGTTCGGCTACTTTATTCCATGAATTCTCGACACTTTATTCGAACGACATTGGCCTAACTCATAAGACCACACATGTTGGCATGTAGGGAGGCTCATGGAAATACGGGGCATACCTACGTTGTTAGAGCAAATTTACAGCGTCAATCATAGTAAGTATATTGGAAGTCTCCTCAGTCAGTTGACACATCGACTATCCTTAGCCTAGCTTTAAACAAGCTAGTCGGTTCCTCAATTCGAACGTCGGTAAGTGTGTGGTCCTAGGACTCTGTACTAGAAGGACCAACAGGAAAGATGATTTTTCTCCACGCCTTGATGGACAGTAACTTCCAACTGTTAGGGAACGGAAGGGCCTCGGTGTCCTAATGACCTCCTCGTTTAAATCATGGTCACAATGTTTAACGGCATCAAACGCATGAAGCAGGTGCTATCCGCGTTGAAACGTTCGTCCGCACAAATCGGTAAGGAATTGTTCAGTAAAACCTGCAGGTTATTTATTTGATCTCATTTGGAGTATACCGTACAGGCCTGGAGTTTTTGGTTTAAAAAGTGTCAACTCCTGAGAACAGTATCAACGAAAGATACTAAGATGATAAATAACCTGAGTAATTTCTCCTACGAAGATTGACTGAACTTATTTTGTTTCCTCCACATTGCGGGCGACTTCATGGTGACCCCATCCCGACCAATCGGATTATTAGCGGTCGCAAATGTTCCTTAAAGTTCGATGACTTCTTCGAATCGGCTGAAAAGGACCGTCCGCGTGGTCATCCGCTTAAATTGAAGAGGAATTGGTGTATTCAGACGCCCAACGGAATGTCTTTTAGAAGAGTGTCGTTGAAGCTTGCAACATACTTCCCGCCGAGGTAGCATTTCCCCACACTGTTGAGAAATTCAAGTGCTGATTTTATACTCAGTTCTTAAGATTGTATCGGTGGCATCAGTTAGCACCTCGCTGACACATACACCTTCCTGAATTGTTGCCGTAAAAATGGATGTTGTCGAGCTTTCAGACGTGAATAGGGAGCCGAAGGGCGAAAGCCGTACTCCTTAAATAAAGTTCCTTAAAGTAACTTAAAGCTATGAGGTTTAAATGCAAAACTGAAACAACGATAAATAAAATCCAGTTCTGAAGCCCTCGTCGGCACCGGAAGGGATTAATGTCGGAGTTCTTTGTCGGCTACTACTTCTGTATTTTCCGCTTAAAGATATAAACTCGGAATGAAGTTAGACACGTAAAACCGGTCCTCAGAATGGAATGCTCGGCTACGTAAATAAAGGGCACACCCTGTTTAAATAAGCCTTTACATGGATGGCCTATCTTAACGCTGCAGGCGAGACAAGTCATCCCGACGTATTCTTCAGTCTAGCCGAGCAGGATATTTCAAAATTATGTGGTCTGCATGTCAGTGGGTCTCATACGCCAAATTTACACGAAGTTCGGATAAAAATCGTTGGAAAACGTTATTATCACTGTGCAAACGGAGGAAAATTGATCAAGAGACGGTATTCCCGTGAGCCTCACATGTGATGCAAGATGTACAGATGCAAAAAAATCAGACATAGCAGGATCCACAAGCTGAAAATATACGCCAAACACTCGAGTGTGCACTTATATGTGTATAAGTGTGTTTCAGTTGTCGCGATCAATGTCTGTCGATTAACAATGGATCCCTGTTAGCACATGGCCTTTCTCAGTGAAGGAGTTACGTGGGGTGGCCGTACCATGACCCAGTCCAACATGTCCAAGTTCCAAAAAAACGCGCGAAAAAATAGGCTAATCGATTGCATTTTGTCTTTACACAGATGCCCTGACAGAATAAAAGAGGTATACTGCATACCTCTGCTCGGTAGAAGAAATCATGCAGAAATTTCATGGAAGTAATTCCTATACACTGAGCCATAGGCGAAAAACGAAATGAGGCCGAACAGATGGTTGGGAGAATTCTGTCAAATGAGGGCAGAAACATCGCTAAAAGATTGGGATGCAGTGTTTTCCGGAAACATCACCGAGGACTGGGAGTTATTCAAAGGATATTTTTTTCATCTAATGAGGAACAAATGCCTCTTGCAAATGCCTATGAAAACCGATCGGCCTCAATGGCTATTATGAGACCTAGAAAAGAGGTAAATAGGATAGGAGCGTTGTGAAAGAAGTTTTGCCAGAACAACGAATGTTCAGCCTTTAAATAATATAAATTCCAGAAGAAAAAGGTTAATGATTCAAATTTTAGAAGACTACAACATTCCGAGAGTGACTTCTCCAAATAGCCGACAGCTCGTCGACTGGACTATTGGTCCCCTTATTCAAATGACTCAAATACATCGCGTTGAGGCTCCGAAATCGGAGGCAAATCCCAGAATCACGCACGTATCTTATAATCGAGAAACCTCTTCGAGAGGCCAAGCAGAACAATCTCGTCGTTTTGCTGACGAGCACACCAAAGCCCTCAACTGTTTTAGGTCAGCTTAAACCGCAATTTTAAATTGAAAACGCCAATAAGTGTGTATTAACAACGTCCGATGAGGCATGTTCTTCTATGGTTTCCGCACGTTTGCAATTTTGAATCCTGCATATCCAATGTGAGCATGGAGACATGGAACGCAGCATGACTACAATCTAATCAGAAGGGTTAGGAGGTTGGCCACTGTCATTACTTCATGAGACATTCGTGATTAACCTAAAGCTATATCCTCTGAGTTATAGGCAGGTGTACTGGGACCTAATGTTAACCTTCCGTATCGCCCGCGGTTAGAACTTTGCCCTCTGGGTTAGAACTTCTTCCAATTCGTTTTTATAATCACTCTGCGGGAATATCTAGTCAAACTAAGTGTGCCCTAATGAGTATTAGATGTGAAAAAGTATTTATTTGCAAATCGCTTAGTGGAACAATGACATAAACTGCTCGAAGGGATTGTTATATTACAGTCCGCGAGTGTATTCACGATAGTTCGACTGTCGTTGCCGACGGTATCCACCGTGTGCTCCACAACAAGATGAGGCAGGGATGGTGACTGGGACGCAATTTATTTTATAAGGAATGTGGACTTTTGCAGCACCTACCGCACTCCCTCTTCCTTCTCACCTGGGCCTGGTTTCAAGACAGAGACGAAATGCTGTGTATTCATTCATTGTCTTGCCAGTCAGAAGCTGCTGTAACGGGCGAATTATGTGTTAAAATAACTTTAAAAATATATGCGTATTTGCGAAGCCAAGTCCTTTCAACTTGCCACTGTTTTTCCCTATATCACCGCAAATTCTTTTGAATGTAGTGTGTAAATATGAAGTTTGAAGGCGTAAGCCTGAGTTCTCTAGCAACAAGGATATTTTAGACATCAAGACACAATTCCGAAGGGTAAACCGACGTTTACAGTACTGATGACAGCATCTGAAGGATGTACCAATAGGGCAAAACAGGAGAATTCTCTCTTCTAAATTAAGCATTACGCATATAAAAATGTTTTCGGAACCGCTTAGAAATTGTGTAGCTTCAAGAAAACATCCCTTTACCCCGGAATAGGTTTCTGATAACCCCTGCAACCAATTGCGAATGGGGTGTTACGCAATAGAGGACGACCTCCGAATTAGTGTCTACCGCTTCAAACTGTTGCGAACAAACTGTGGGAATGCGTGCGGTTTGAACGCTTCCATAATCAATGCAAATTCCTTGTTGGAAGGAGAAGACAGATGGCACCAGAATGAGAGGTTTATTGTACACAAAACCCATAGTTTCCCTCTCAGACGGCAGCGGACACTGGCAAATCCAGAGCTGATGCATTTGCCGAGGGATGGTGTCCCAGTGGCCTGGGTTGCAGTCGCAGGGGGAGGTGCGTTCAAGTTGCCGCATGGGTAGCTACGACTGTGCGGACGCAGATATGTCCGAGGTGTTGGTCGTATAACTTCAGGTTATCGAGTTTGGAACGGTTCACTGCAAAAGGATAGGTGACCTTGAGGCGGCGGGGTCTTGAACACTTAAGTCAGACCGGTCATGATGGCTGTCCGCTACAAAACTACCCTACAAATGCGTGACCTCCTCATAAGCGGAGACCACGATTTGGCTAGGCGTGACCTTAACGCACCGAATTTTAAAGAGTTCTCCGGATTCTTGCACAAACCATTTTACTCTTCAAGCAGTGCATTCAAACGCAAAAATAAACTATTCTAAGACCAAAATGCTTAAGATTACGCCTAGAAAATTGCCATCGTAGTCGAAATTTTTCGTCATATCGGCACCCCTGGATGCACTGAGTACACGTCCTTGCATAAGTAGGCCATTTAGATAGTGTTGAACGTGGATTGTCTATTGTCATTCGGCCTAACCTAGTCCTGTTGCCTTTCGTACTGTGGTTCGTAATTTATTTCTTATCCGTTGTTTATTATTTCTATCTGTGTAAGTTACTGTAATTACTTAGTGATTCGAGGTCAAGTGAGGTGCTATTAGGTCTAATTGTCAAAAGAAAGTTCTCCTATCACACTGGCAATTCAGCGGGAATTTATGCCCTAAATATATTGTTTTTTTATTGTTGGTAGGAAGCAGTTGTCAAGCGTTAGGGATCGCCCGGAGCACTTTTTACTACTGCGTACAACGTCAAAAGCGGGCTTATTACACGGCAACTTACGATCCTGATCCTGTCATTCCCTTTTTTTCGAAAGTGGCAGAGCAGTCACCATAGTGGCAAATGGCATACAACCAACTTCATGTATATAGATATTATCAAAATTTTTTGACAACTCATGTAGTATGAAACTGTTCTCTTTCATCTGCGAACCAATATCGCCTTTATCTGGCGGAACCTGCCATGACGACCCAGAGGGGTTCTATTAATGAACCATAGCCCCGAATGACCGACCAGTACTTTTGTACAAACTTTTCGTATACGTTTACCGTTTCTCAATTTTCTACTAAACATCTTTATTTGCCAATTTCAATTTACTGTCTTGTGTTGTGATATTGTTGGTGAATTGACAGGCATTCCTTTGTGTTATCAATTGGATTGGGAGAACCTCATGTAGGAGGTTGCTTTTCTACATTTAGTGTCTTCACGGTAGCCGTAAACCTCCGGCGACGGATTCGATATCAAAAATTGAAATGGAAAGTAGTGGAAACGCGGGTCTCCTGCGAATTTTTTCGACAATGGGGCCAGCGGTAACACATTCGCAAATGCTGCGCCATAGTGCAGTGTTCTAACCTACCATAGCCCGGTTGCAACACTCCCAGATAGTCTTGGCCAGAGCCCGTCAGGCAAGGCTGGTGTGAGCGGGGTGAACAGTCAGTCCTATTGCCATCGCATCATTTTCTAACAAATTCACTAATTTAAAACTGTTGCGAATTAAACGGACCTATGGAATAAAACTACATCATTTCATAAATGCGTAGACCTTCTTGAATAATAAGGGTAAGAAAGGAAAGTACCGTATGTACGGGTGTTTCAACTACCAGAGGCCGTCGTCTCTACCGTGGTAACCGGTCAGAAACTAACTCCCGTGTGCTCTCCGCCGATTCGTAACTCGTATGGTCGGAAGCAGCAACTATATAAGACAATAAAGTTAATTCAATGATGTGAAGCTGGCAAAAATCCCGAGAAGAACTTTGGGCGGCAAAAGGAATTCACAAGACGCTTTGGATTATTGACTGCTACCGGATATTCAGTCTATATTTTACCATTCTAGCGGGGAGCATGAAGAAAAATGTTGCACATCTTCGAGCGTAGAATCTCTGTTTTTTTATAAAGGTGTTTAACCGTAAAAATTATGCACACGGCAACGGAAAAATTGAATGATGAGCCGTTAACGCGAAATACGCCACAATAGGTCACAATATGATTTCCCCGTGCTACATTCTACAGCCAAGAAGAGATGTGCTGTGGTCTGTACCGAATATGACACCAAAAGTAAATTGGAAATTGCCTGTCGGCCAGCAGAACTTCCAGCGGGCACCTTTTGGAAGAAACAATTATGTGCACATCTGCCGAACTTCGTATTGCGCCAGAATTGAGAACACAAACGACCAAGTCTCAAAATAGACCAATGAACATTTATGCTGAAAAATCACAAACCTCGAGGTTGCCTGACGAAATCAATCATTGACGAAAGGCATATGAGACCTGCCGGTTTTTTGGGGAAGTCACCGGTCGAATGTCGAAGCGCAGTGTTAAAATCAGCATGCGATAATATCTTCCCTTAACCGAGAATGCGGAAAGATGAACACACAGTGGGCCCTGCAAGCTGTGAGTGAAGCTCAAACTCGAATTAAATTTATACAATTCTTTTTGTGCAACTGATGCGGAACACTGGCAGCAACGTGGCATTCCCACAGCTCCATCCCCTTCCCTTTCTTTGCAGATTCTGACAAAATTTGCCAGTAGATGCTTAAAAATCATGAAAAAACACTCCTCTCCTAAACATTTTTCTCAGCATAGATCATTACCTATAACTGTATGCTTAGTTCCTGTAGGAACAAGGAGACTGTATCCGAAGCGACGGACAAAATTCCTAAGAGTTGCGATGATATCAAATCAGGAAAAAAGAGCATTTTGAGGCCGCAGTGAAATATATTAGTACAATAGCTAAGCGGTGACAGATTTTCCGAGATTCTATGCTGATTTATTTGAATAACTTAATGTGAACGGATAGTTTAAATACACTGTATATTTAAACGGTATTATAAAAGTTACGCCCTCATCCGGCAGGGTTTGTGTTCGTATTCCCAATGGACCATGTCAAAAACACCATCACCCATCATGTGAACGAACTTTATCGGAGCATTTAGTATACCTTAATTGCATCTTACCCCTTTAGCGGCCAATCCACTAATGACGCACAGGTGCTGTTATTTGCGGAGCAGCTGGAGAAACATATAAACCCGCATGTTTCCTCACAGGTTTTTTTTTATTTGGGATGACTTTTCGCCGTAGCTCAACGTTGAAAAGGCTAAACAGGTTATCGTGGATAACAACCCGAATGCGGAGGCATTCTTGACGAAATACAATGAGCTGAAGCTTCGCAAGTACATCATTCCGCTTACTTCACGCTTTCAGCATTCGAGAACTTGACCCGTTTGTCTATCTATTAGCGAAAATCAAATGGGACACCGATTTATTTAACGTTATCAACAGTGATAGGTCGTCTAAAAACGTTGACCTCTTGTTGCATCCGTCAGAGCGTGACGTGAGTCATCCCCTAGCGCTCTCTTCTTAAATTATGCTTTCATTGTCACATTTTCCGCTCTTCTTCCGCCATTATTATCTTGTCAGGGCTTTGAAACACCGCAACGTCCACACACTACGTGCAGTGGGGTTAAGCCGCATACTTTTGTGCTTTCTGAGTTTTTGTTTCTACCAATATGTCCGATTGCTGACGTCTTTGTGTACAAAGACTTCCGTAGCTTTTATTAGTTGCCCAGATCTCAAGCCGTTTCATTCTTTTAAAATACACCAGGATGTCGATCAACTCCAACGTCTTATCCGCAGTCAGGACAATTCATACAACATTTCGACTGGACCTCAGCATGAACTGCATACCTCAGACGACGAAAATACATACTACCCTACTCATGGGCTGGAAGATTATGACCCGAATGCCCAGGAAAGCTGCCTCGAACGTCTACAGGCGTTGACCAGTGGGGGGTCCGACTCCTCTAAAAAGCGGTCGAAACAGCCTTTGAAACTTCTCCCCCAGTGGATTTACGAGCGTCCGTATCTCTCTCTTGACTACTTCCCAAATGAAATTCTTACTGCAAAGGTAAGGTGTTGCTAGTTGTCCTTTTAATGTAGCAGCTCCAGTTTCTCTAAAAACCGTCCACAAATAAAGCTATTTGGCTAGTTTTTTTTAAAGGGATGTTCGGTATGCAGCACTCCCTTGGTTCGTTTTTTGTAATACCCGAAATGTATGTTAGTTCTCACAATTCGTAGACGGGTTTTCTTTTCCAGCAAACCTCCGTACTCCCTTTGGAAACGTTGCCACTTAACGCACAGGAGAAGTTGATCGTACAGGACATACTAGCATGCCTGCAGGTAGGTCTTTGTTTCCCTTCGCGTACACGCTCGTATTTTGCCCACGAATCGCTAAATTTTTGAGGCTTTCTGGAACGCAATATCGTAATCACCATACATTCTTTATGAATGATCACCTATTGCAAATCAGCGATTTGTTCATTTTCGTGGATCTTAACCGTATTTCACAACTACACCTTTTCCCTTCTCATTTTGCGATCCCTTCGGTTCCACTGAACGTCGTTTGTCTGTTAATGCCTTACGTTTTAGCACATATTTTCTAAATGCTTTTGAATTTCCTTGCTTTCATGTTTTATCATAATGGTTTAGACGTGAGGCTTTACTTGAAGAATAGTCCTTTTTCTACCCCCTGTTTTCTGCCTAAATTTGTCCTTGTAGGGTAATGATGGGGCCTATATTAAGGCTTTGCCTCTCAAGGATTTTCGGAGTGTCCGGAACTTTGCTATCGACGAGAAAATGCGTGAGTCCTATTTCGGTTTATACACACAGCCTATTTCTCATTCATTTATGACTAACTATACCGGCCACTGAATCTGAAAGTTGCCCATCTGCCGGTCACATGACGCGTCGCAGTGGGCGGATAGGAGAACGGCCTTCATCGAAGGTTAGCTGCGAAATAAGCGGGCTCTCGAGTCTGGCGAATAAGCCGTAACAGGCCGGCAGCGAAAATACTACCGGAATGGGGGGAGCTGAGCCAACTGTCTTATAAAATGCCGTGAAACCGGATTACGGCAGTGGGACATTAAAATGTTTACTTGTGACCGCTGTCTCTGACTAAGTTCTTGAGCCAGGGCGCTAGAAGAGACAACCTCAAACCGTTTGAGCGGCTGTTGAGGATGCCTGTATTCAAAATCTCCAAAAAATCCCCCAAAACGTCCGATCACAGTATTGCGACCAGTGCTACGGCATCCATAGGAACAGACGTGCATCGCAACCCTGGTCCAGTGGTGCAGACAAATAGAGTGCGATCTGACATATTCAACCGCAGACGGACTCTTTAATATTTAATGCTGAAATATGAGAACTTTCATAAAGTAGTATCCAAAGTCTGACGATGCGAAGTCTTCGTTAATATAGCGTGGATGTCTACTTCATGTCGGAAGTTCGAATCACCGACTTATGAGCTGAGGCTTTGGGCATAGCTCTCGATACGACAGTGGTGGGAGAATGCTTAACTTTGCTGGTCAGTATCGACCCTTTGTCATCGACGCGTTCTTTCAGCACCGCCACAAACTTTTGGTGATCTTGTATTCAGACGACGGTCATATGGCCAATCAGATGGACTACATTGTAGCCGGTTCACGATTTCGCAACTGGGTTCACGACAGCAGATCTATGCGGGCTTCCAAAACTGGTAACGCCTGTCCTTCACAAATGTTTGGTGACACCAAGCTGGAGAGGTGCAAGAAGTACGTTCAGACGCACTGGTTAGGACGAACTGCCTAATCGCACCTTAATACGCAATTGTGCCAGCCATCATTATACGTTTTTTCTGACATTTCATCAAAAATATGTTTAAAGTAAGTGACTTGGCTCTTGTGGCACTAATCGAAGGACATGACACGTAATAGAAAACCTCGCTTATTACTTACCTTCCGCGGTCCACAGCATCCGTCTTCAAAACTTGATATTGCACTACATGGACGTGCTAGGGATTTACTAAAGACATCACGCCTTTCTCATTCATTACAGATCCTTCCCTGTTGGACACTGTGAAGAAAATCCTTCCGCTCTGTTCCCACTACTCCACAATTGTTCGTTTTGTTGAAGGTGAGCTTTTGCACCTTTTGTCGCCTTTACATCTTTGTATGTCGGACTTAATCTGAAAAATTGGACCAAACTAAATGAAGAAACCACACCAGTCATCTGGGAAGGAATCACCTTGTGGTGTCCCTTTGCAGTTAGGCGTTAACTGAGCTTAATATGTTGACGGAGGTTTAACTTCTGTGATTTGCAAAATATCCTCTAATCAGACACGTTTTCGGAACGATCAATTGTATCCTTAACTAGGAGTAAGAATTTTTTAATAAAACAACGCAGCCAAAAGGGCATGTTTGACGGTAATTACCCTGCATCAATATCACCCTTTTGTTTCGTATCTTCCTTGTCGACAGAATTATTGTTCCCTTTTTCATTGCACAGCACGCTTGCAGACCATGTTTATCTGGTATTCAGACTTCATTTCCATTCTAAAGCATCCGACTGAACTAGCCGATGTGCTTTTGTGGCCTCTTTTTTTATCGCTGCCCGACTACGAGCACATGTAGATGTCTAGCCATCAAACGACTGCCCCGTCGTTTGAAATCCACGCAACGTGGCCGCGCTCTTGAAGTTGCATCTGTCTGTGCCAAATCTGCGACTCTAGTCTAATACTCTCTTCACATTTCAGCAATTGTCCACCGTTTATGGAAGTCTGTTCCGTACTAATTCCAGACCGCAAACCACTTAAAGGTACCATTACCTTTTTGTGATTCACAAGGTCGCATTTCCAGTCCACAAGAACTCCTTGATGTCTTGAGTCGGTGACCCTCAAGTGAAAACGAATAGATCCTCATGAATCTTATTCGTGCGGACCTAATTGGACTTTCGTCGATCTCACAGACTTTGTCACTAGTCATCGAACTTCCTTTGCTCCAGGGGCAGAGTTAGGCAATTGAACAGGACCCCCGCAAATATTTGTACACAGATACCCCGTAGTTAGGTCCTTCGGTGTTTTTTGCAGGATCGCCGACTTCTGCACTTGTACGGATATGCCGTGGCACATCTCCAAGTTCCCGCCTTGTCTTTCTCTACCCACAGACATCCCGAATTAGGCGTTTTTGTTTGTGTAGTATTTTAAAGACGCCCTAGACTGGTAAGAATTTCTGCTGCCCAAAATTTTCTTCACAGCAAGTGGATCGTTTTTATCATTTTCAGATTTGATTCTAAATTGAGATCTATGTTGCGTGCAACTTATCGAGGTCCGCTGATCGACCTATTGCAGGATGTAAGCGGGCAACTGAGGACATCTGACTTATCCAGAAGCAGCGTGGAATCCCTTGAAATAGGCAGCGGTGAACTTTCCTATGTTTTCTGAGCAGCAAGCCCCTGATTACTAACACCATCCCAGGTGCCCTTGATCTTCCTGTTGGTTTTAGTCACCCCATCGTTTTCCTCACGGGATTTTTTCGGGACACGACTAATGCGGCTTACTTCTCACCTTTCCCGTTTTTGGGAGAACTATTAAGACGTCCATTTGGGCAATTGTCAGAATCGCATCGTTACTCTCTTCAAATCATCCCGGTCGTTGACGCCGTCTGCTAAATACCGTGAAATCATGTGCTATAGACAATAGACATAGACACCCTCCTATTCGATATGCATTTAGTTAAAATTGTTGTTCCGCCTAAAAATTTCCAACAATTTCCAAGAGACAATTTTCGCGGTTTGGTAGGCAGTTAGTGTTCGTTCCAATATTCCGAACTGCGGATCGTGTTCGCCATAGCGTGCCCAACCGTCTCGCCCCTTGACGATCGTTCAGTTCACTAGTTGCCAATGAAGTTAACGTGAGAGCTTTATTATTAGTTAGTTTACGGAGGTTGTGTTCTACGCGGTGCCTCAGAGTAAGACCAGTTACTTTCTTATTAACTACTCCATAATGGCCGACCTGCCTTAATTATTTTATGAAGGCCACCGAAAAAGAAGAGCTTGCCGGCCTCCAACGTTGGCAAGGTGAATGCTTGCAATATCTCATACAATTCGCTCCCGCGTTGTCGCCCCTCAGGTGTAAACCCTGAGGATTATGTTCCTCTTAGTGGACAGTAGCAGCTCCGAAGGCTTAAGTCGGCAGTTCTCTCAATTAAAGAAGGCACTAAGCGTACTGGAGTTTTCTTCCAGAGATCTGTTCTTTCAGCTTTTTTAACTTTGTGCGCTAGAAGGTTCCTCTGGTGAACCGTTGTGGCCGACGGATCTGAATCACATCCCATACAAATGCGTTATTTTAATATAGTTCTGAAAACAGAAGGGGAAATGTCGGAAGTAGATGAGCATAATAGAAAAATGCCTTTTATTTTTCGTCCTTTTCATCCACTTCTTCGTCTTCGAAAATGGCCATCGATTGATCACGTTTCTCGAAGTTAATATAGTAGGTTTCAATTTCTTTGGTTATGCCTTTACTCCCAGATTTCTCACAAGATACTACAATGGACCCTGTTGCTGTTCACTTTTGCCCGAGGTTTTGAGAGTCCTTAGTACTTCGGAATTTCTGTATTCCGATGCAGCCGATACGCGGATGACGCCGTGACGAGTGTTAACTTTGGTCCTCATTTATAGTTGTCTGTAGTCCGGAAGAGATGCTGATAACTACTAAGCTTGATTTTTGTGGCTCCAGCAAATTCTCCTGGCTGTCGTTTGCCTATCGGTATTCCAGAATGACAAAACGCCTCTTATGTAACATTTTTACTTTCCACCCGTTGTATACAATCTCAGTCGCCGCTTTTAAGGATGTCGCGCCGTTACCTTTTAGGACTGTTGTCAGCATCGGCAGCTATAACAGAGATAGAAGATGTGAAATTATCCTCTGAGACGACTGTTTATATGATCCGCAATTAAACGGTACTTCCACCGCCAATTTATAACTATGAGGCGTAATCCGATTAGCGTGCGGAACTGGAACTCAGGACTTTCCTGGAATTATGAAAGCCGGTTGCATCTAAACCGATATCATTTGCTACCTCAGGCATACCTGCTTGGCCCATTCGGACGCCATTAAAGTGATGTGTTGACGTACCGACCGCCACGTCGGCTCAGCCCTCAACATATAGCGATCCACACTGCTGTTATATGACAACAACAATTGACCAACTATAGTTTTCGGTCAATAGTTACTACAGGGTTTGAACATAATCCCTTTTTCTGTACGTCGTTAAGTAGGATTACCTCTTAGTTCGATTTCATTATTCCGTACCAGGCATGATGGAAATCCCAGGAGGATAGTGTCCTCAGGTGTCTGATTGATGGACTCCGTCATCAAAGACTAGCTGCCAATTAAGCAAGCTCACCGGTTTGAAGAATAAACATTCATCGACTATTTCAGTAGTATGTGCAAGTGGGGCCAGACATCGGTTTACTCAATTATTTGCCTACAGCAGCTCAGAAACCATAGCAGTACTATAACATGCCGAATGCTGTCCACCATCCAATAAAACTTTATCCGCCGTCGTACCACTCCATGCTGCAACGTTTAACTGATGTGCCAAAGGAATGGGTGGAGATGTTCACTTTCGTTTCTAGGTGCGAGAGGGGACCATCCCTCGACAATACCGCTCTACGCCACTGCTGTCCGGCGAGTCGCGGCTTAAACGAGCTTCCGAACAACTGGAGGACTTGGACTCATGACCTCTGCTTGAACTTGGCGAGGGCCGATGACGCCGAGAGCCTCACTTTCCGACTCAGTTACATTTAGTACTCGTTCAAATCATGCGAAAAGGCTTTGGTTTACGGAATAGGCCAACTCCGTTTTGCAAACAAAGGATATTGCGTGTTCTTTGTGGGTTCCGTCAGCTGTACAATATGTTTAAGTCAGAGACTCAGACACTTTACCTTAAATTCTCAAGTTTTTTATTCGTTGGCTTATGTATTAATTTTTTATTTTTAGAAAGGTCCTGTTTTGAATATGGTCAAGTCCTTCAAGCCCTCTGCGAGGGCATCGAGTGCTTTCTTCGGGATTACTGGATTCTCCTCTGTCAGCTGGAACGTCAATACGGCATCAACCAGTTGGGCATCTCCAGATTGCTCTTTCTCCTTCAGGTGCACTTACATACACAGTTTACTCTAGAGTCTAGTACTATGCTGATTTCAACTAAATTGAAACACCTTTCTCGTCCAGGAAACCGGTTATCTGTTCACTCACGTGGCCCGCCTAGTCACAAACATCAGTACGGGCGGTTGCACTGGCGGTGCTGCTCTTTCTCTCATCCATGAGAGTCTTCGTTCCACCGCAAGTCTTGATCAAGTGCACGACTGCATGGTCTTCCTTATGCGCTCAGCATGTGCGCCCTTCTTCGAGATGCTCAAGAAGTGGATCTACCGTGGTGTGATATGCGACCCCTACGGCGAGTTCTTCATCACTGCTGCTGACACAGCACTCTCCAAGGAGGTGCGAGGTCGCGAAACGCTTCCTTCGCATATAGCCGCTGCGCAGGACTACATTGATTGTGCCTTCTTTTGGGACCAAAACTATACGATCGTGCGGACACAGTTACCGGCCTTCCTGGAAGCGCGTGCAGAGAAGATTCTCAAGACTGGAAAGTATCTAAATGTCGTGCAACAATGCGGTAAGTTACGTTGGATATCGTCTTGACAATTGTCTGCCTCCTATCAGTTACCTTTTGCAGTGGCAATACAACTCGCAGCTGAATTTTTATCTTGCCTTTTTAGACAATTCAACCAAGTTTTGCGACCCGGAAGAGATTACTTTTTCCGAGACTGATCAGCAGTTCATTCATCAAATTGATCGAGCCCATGCGTTTGCTAGCAAAAGTTTACTCCAACTCATTATCAACCAAAGAGACCTCAAAGGCCTGCTGAAGTGAGTTAGATCTTTGTTAGAAATCCATTTCTATTTGCCAATATACTGACCCGTCTCGTGACTAGGAGCTCATTGTTCTTTGCGAGAACCAATTTTCGTTATCAGCAATGATTTTATGTTTTCTAGTTTGTCTAAATTGCGTTTTTAAGAGGCGGCTGACCATACCCCGGTACAGGTACTGTCTAACTGTCCAGGCCAATGTTTCACCGAACTTGTAGAACTGTCTGAGACAGTTGTTAGGGTTTTGATCCATCGATGGACCCCCATATGTTCTCTTTATGATTCCTTCGCATATTTACAAAAAGTTGTTAATGACTGGGAAACCGGTCAGAATATGTCAACCAAAACACCTGGCTAAAGATGAAAGACCTTCACTCACATAAAAGCACGAAGGAAATGTTAAAATTGACCTTACACTGATTATAAACAATATTTCTACCGAAACCGCTAAAGTTATGTCAAATGAGCAAAGTTAATTTTCAGGCAAACAACTGAATACACGGAAGGGCATAAGCACAACTACATTTGTGAAAGCCGTCTTAACCAATGTTACGGTCAAATATTCTCCAATAAGTAGCATAATATGCAGAATGGAAGCCAGTCGACTCCTCTATGTTTAGGTACTTTTCTAACTGATATGCAGGAAATAAGGTGACAGTTTCTGGTTTTTGCACAGTTTGGCATGCGGTCGACCTAGACGAAGGTTAGTTAGTTCGATTATTAAGGACGTCGCACGAATGAGTTTTCATAAGGTCGTAGGTCGAGGCGTTTGATCGTGACTAAAAAGTTAGAATATAATGGGCAGGTGTAATGACAATGTTTCTTTCGTAAAATGAGTATGTACTCTCGGAGAACGATAGAGTATCAAGGCGTCCTCGAGATGTCAATGAATGCTTTGCAGCAGTTTTTCGGCCTTCCACCCACCCACCAAGTCAGGATATTGGATTTTTGTTTTGTCGTCGGAGTTTGTTGCCATCCTCCCACCGTGAGTACCTGCCCACGTACATCGCGAATCAGTAAGACGCGAACTTATGTGCGAAGGCGCGAAAAGAACCTTGAAGGTCGACCTTAGAGAGGCTACCGGGACTAAGCAACACCAAATCTCAGAAAAACTAGGTTTCGTTGACAAAAACTTCAAATAACTCAGTAGTTTTGAAATATGAGAGGAGTCGTCTTCATTTCGTCCTGCAATCAGGACTGGCGGACACCACTTTCCAGTCGCAGGCGATAGGGCGCTGACGCATGGTTTCAGTTGCAGGACGTTTTGCTCAGATTCTGAATGGCCAGCTAACCCGTGTCCGAATCCACGGCTTTCTTCGCCTGAGACCTGGATGAACCTGATTGACGACAACCATTAAACCAGAGTCTTAGTTTCCCTTATCTTCGTTGGTAGCATTTACCAGGTATTTTGGGGCAGTCCGCAGTAGAAAACTATTAATTACGCACACTGTTTTATTATCTCATATTCGGAAATCGAAGGTATAATTTTTTAAACAGTCAGAAGGCTGACTGTTTAAAAGTAAGTTATTATACCCCCCGGGCTTCTTACCGTCATCCTTACCGAGGATGGGAGAAAGGAAGTAAACGAGTGAAACTGCAAACCACTGTAAGTGAGACCACCACCGACCTATTACATTGCCTGAGGGTTTCTTCAAGCATAACGTCCCCTCGCGCCTAAGCTCACTTCTGACTGCATCTGGTCACTGACGGTCTGATTCAGTTTCTCTCTTCTGGCGAAAGGAAATCGGCGTCCGTGTTGTTCTCCGTTGGACTCCCCCTTGTTGTTGTTGTTGCTGTTGATGATGATGGTGGTGGTGGTGTTGATGATGATGATGATGGTGGTGGTGGTGGTGGTGGTGGTGGTGATGATGATGATGATGATGATGATGATGATGATGATGGCGGCGGCGGTGGTGGGGGGCATTGCGATTCTGGCTGGAATGAGACCTCCTTAATTCCCTCACTCGTGTACTATCCCCTCTTTCCCACAAATTGTCCTTTTTGGTGGAAAGACAAACCAACCGATATGCTTTTTGTTGTAGATCTGTGAAGCGCTATTTCCTACTTGACCAAGCCGACTTTATTGTGCATTTTATGGATGCGGCTGCGAGTGAATTAAGGAAACCAAGCTCACGTTAGTTTGTGCATTTTCTGCTTTCTATTGCCTGATGCATTGTCTAATCAGACCTGCATAGTTTTATCTGTGTCATCTTTCTTTTAGTAATATCAGTTCAACATCTGGAATCTCTATTGGAGTTGGCTCTTAGGACGAGTTCCGCAGACTCGGACCCCTACAAAGACAACCTTCGGTACCCTTTTCTCTCTAAGCTTCTGCCCCTTAGCATTAGTCCCCTGAGAGGTTCATCTGTCCGCTTAGTTTTTGACTGCTGTGTAACAAGTAGTACACTTCAAACACGTACAAACACGCTACTTAATACCTCTAATGCAGGGTTTAAATTCGTTTCGCAAGAAAATACGTAGTCTTTGTAGGGCTCTAGGACTTCTTTTCTACATCATTCTAAAGTGGTATGGATATAGACTGTCTCAAGTCCGTTAACGACACGGCTAGGTCTCGTCCTCCAAATCTTTGGGATTTGCACTTTTCTCGCCCGACGCCAAGACATTTCGTGACATCGCCACCTATTCTAGACTTTCTTTTACATTCGGCGGGTTTTATGAGAGTCCCTTATAAGGACCGGGTGTTTTAGACGTTTGAGAATGTAACATTGCAGTAGATAGCAGTATCGATATGTGCTACTCTGTTTTGTTCTCTCAGAGTCGGCCACTTAAACGTCCGGTAGAAGCGATAGAAGTACCTGCTTTGTTCAATTCATTAAGCTTTGTTTGCTGTAGAGGTAAACGTGGAAAATGATACCAGCTTTCCATAGTCATTGTTTGCAGTCACCCAGAAGATTACTTAGGTGGCATGACCTTGGAGCCACTGACAACAGTTCGTACAAATTAGTCGCTTTTGTAAAGTCTCGTCTTGCATAAGTTTACAGTTTGTGTTTCGACAAAGGTTATGCTTTTGAGGCGTTGACTGGGGCACATGCATGTTCAAATGTCCGAAGATTTCTAAATCCCATTGAAAGTTATGCAAGTGTTTCCAGCTATGGAACAACATCTCGTGAGTTTTTTGGGTACCCCTCCATAGCAAAATGAAGTGGATCCCGAGGGTGCCTTCGTAAACATGCAGACCATATAAATTGGAAATCATAAGGTATGTAGGAAGCGCCAGTATCTCAAATTTTATTAACATAAGGACTATGTAAAACTGCTTATCTGTTCAGTAGTGATTATTCCTCCGAGCAGTTAAGCGGGGATTTTTGCCACAGAGAGTCAGCCTGCCATAACATAAGAACTAATATGGAATCATGCGCTGTATTTGTGCCCATTGCAATGCCATTTGAGTAACCGCCTCTATCGGACAACCTCAACGCCATCTGTAGATGTCCTTTGGGTGCCATGCTGTGGTCGGACTTGACTTCCGGTGCTAAAAGGTGGAATGTCTAAGGTTCCTAGTGAGGTCTCCTGCGAAATGTCAGACATCTTGCACTTGAAGTCGACGAGTCTTACTCTCAACAAAAGTACTCATTTCCCCTAAGCTGATATTGACCATCATCTTTTACCTCTTACCTTTTTAGAGTATCTGCAGCAAACTGCGACCTCATAACACAAATGCTCAACGTTCTCCAGGTTGCCGCCGAGGGCCGCCCACGTAAGATCTCCCTTTTTGCATTGCCACGTCACATCCTGTCTATGTCTTTTTAATCGCTATCTGAAAAATACTCCTTCCATGACAATGGAAAGCTCAGCGGGGCCTGTGTCGACCGATCGTATTGGCTAATCGGCCTCCTGACATTCGGAGAGGTCAGCAGGGCTGTAATGACGGAGTTAGTCTTCGCTGGACTAAAGCTCCTCCTTTGGAAGCTCAAAGCATAGACACCAGGTGCGAGTGGAAAGGAAATTTCCGTGTCTAGAAATGCCCTCACACTACTATCCATATAGTTCCTCTCGTGATCAAAAAAGACCAAGACGGGAGTTGTTAACGCTTTTCTGACCTTAACCGCATTTGTTATTCCTAGCAGCCAACTGCGAAGTGATACCGCAGCGGCATGCTAAAGATACACATCCACCTCATTATTTCGCTGGAAGGCGATCGGTACTTCATCGAATGGGGGCGAGACGTCTGGGCACTCAGACGACTGCTCACTTCTACTGAGGTCCAGCACACTTATTGAGTGGGCAACCAAACTTGGCCTGTTTCGTCTACGGGAATGCATATCGCTCTACCGGTAGGACTTGGATAGTGTAGACGGAGTCGGTGTTTGCGGGGGGGGTGTGTGCATAAAGATAAATTGCGATCGAATTAAATTTTAGTGGCAATGACTCCTGCGACACTGGCTTGACACTCCCCCACGGGACGCGGTCAGCGCCACTGCGGATGGTTTTGGGACACAATGGCTGCTGTGGCACTAAGCCCAGTCTGTGAATGTCACAAAGTGTCTGCTTCATCTCTTCTGAGTGAACTAGCCTACACCCAACTTTCCAAGTGGGGGGTTCTGTTGCTGTCCTCCTCCGTTTTGCCAACCAGTTTAAATAATTACTGAGGTCTGGCCACTGCCCTCAACACAGCTTCCTGGAGCCACATGTGTGATCCGAATATCGGGTACTATCAAAAGAGGGTGACCAGCTCTTGCTGCCGAGCACTTGATGCAACTATCAACTCATCGATATTGATGCCCTTTTCCTATTTATTCTAAAATTCACCTTCAGATTAATTGTTCACCTGAAATCACTCTCAATGTTTGTATAGCTCATCACGCCCCGGACATCATGGCGACCAGTAACCTGAGCCATTGGGCTCCAAGCAGTTATTAACCACGAGTGATAGCATGCCTTGTCTTTTGCCCTTTAGCGGAAACTACTCACGACCTGAACCCTACCGGCCTGGAGGCTTTCTCGCTTGACTACAAAGTGGACTGGCCTGTCAGTCTCGTAATCAACCGCCTGGTCTTAGACAGATACCAGATGCTCTTTCGTCACTTGTTCTACTGTCGGCATGTTGAACGGCACCTCTCAACGTAGGTCTCATCGCTCTACGTTGTACTTAGCCGTATGAAGATGCTACACTTGTGAAAATTCTGCTTCTGATGTCCACTGTCATTCATTTTGCCCATTTATTCACTTCGTTTTGTCAAGTCTCGTTTTTCTAGTTGGAGTTTGTATCTACAGTAGTAGTTCGCATCGTTGATTACTAGAACCTTCATTCTTACTTGTAGTTCGTTTACTTCGAGTCAACGACTCCGTCCTTTTCCTTTTTGTGTACACGGCAATAGTTTTCGCGTGCACTTAGCCAAGTTGCCATTTGTGCTGGATAAAAATTTGATCAAGGAACTCTCTGAGGATGTGGCCGTCGGTAACTTCTTGGAGTTTAATAGAATCAAAGGGTCATTAAGATCGATGTCTTCTGGCATTCAGTAGACCTCTTCTGTGAAAAGGAAACAACCTTTCATATAATTGTGCAATGTGTTTACTTGGGCGATGAAATCCGCGAAAAGGAGAATGCTACTGAAATTGTCGGCGCCGCAGATGAGGACCAATGTCAAAACCTAGAACGATGTCGGAGGGGAGTGATAGTCGTTTCAGCACCCATTCTGGCTTGCTGTGCCTGGCGGTGATTCATACTATTATTGCCGTTATTAGTCCTCATTCTCAAACAAGCAAGAGCTTTTCGGATTGGTATGGGGAGATAATTCACATGGAACAACTGGACAACACGTATTGGGAAAACGGAAAACCTTCGAGCAAATGCACCCACAAGTGCACATTTTCCCAAAGTCATCAAGTTTTTAATTATAGCGTAACAACACCTCAGTCTCCGATATGGATTGCACATGACCAGCGAGGAAGACATAGACTGTGGCGACCGGCTGGAAAAATTGTAATCCACATTCAAGCCTGCCAGCAGTGCTTCACATACCAACTTTCCAAATCCACCTAAGCAGTGCCTTTTGATTCTAGTCCGTCTAAGAATTTTAATGGGCCTTTCTTGCTTTTCGATCTCAACCGGGATTTGCAGATCCACCCCCGCCGCTCACTACCCCTGTTCCTACTTGCTTTACTGTATACCAGGTGAAATCCCATTCAACTTCACGAATGCCTGCATGAACAGTTGGGACATTACTCATACACTACTGCACTTGCCTGGTGCTCCACTAGTGTACTCGCCTGCGTAATCCTTCCGAGCTCGTGGTGCAACATGCCATTTTCATGAGCCACTTCCAAATTAACTTTATGACCTTTTTGTTTCAGCCCACTGTTTTATAACGGACCGTATTTAAATCGGTTAGAAAACGCTTACCTGTCTATTTGATACCATCAATTACTTCAGTAACGTGAATGTGCTGCTGTTTCTGTCCCAAACACTTGTTTCCAATTTACTCCCTGTTTGCGTTTGCGTTTGAAGCGCACGTGAACGTAAATCCCTGGTATTCTTCCCAAAATAATTCCCCATTACTGCTTTCCTGACAATTTATCAGGTCCTGGGCCATGCGGAAGGCTGCTCGACGGGCTAATACTCCTGCAGCGCTTAAATTGAACAGTGCATTTGTTCTCAGCCAACGCATGCTCACATACATCCAGCATTTTCAGTGTTACATGACTTTTGAAGTGATCGAACCGACTTGGCACCAATTCTTCCAATACCTTGACAAGGTAAGCTTCCCCCTACTGTTTTGAAAACCCAAAAATAGTACGACTTAGATAATTGCAGTAAGTACATAAACTTGAGCATAATTGCAGGCTGACAACATTGACGACCTATTGGACGCACACATGCGCTGCCTCGAGGTCTGCCTCGACGATTGTCTTCTCACGAGTCCCGATCTCCTTGCCGTCGTTGGCAAACTCAACGTGGTGTGCGTCAATTTCGCCAACTTCCTCAATAAAATGTCCGCCAGTTTCCTGGACGACACGTGCGAATCAATGCCAATGAGCAGTGCAGCCTCCATGATGAGTGTGTCGGCGCGGGGACTCGGCACACGAACCCTTAATCAGCAGCACCCATCTACGCTCAGTCGCGGGGGCTCCACCTCCTCCTCTGACTTGAGCATCGCCGCCTCCTCCACCTCTGATGTCCGAAAAAAGGTGACTTCCCCCCCCCCCCTCCGTACTCACCCTTCCCATGCTAGTCGTTCGTCCGCCGTTTACACTTCGTTGTTTTCTTCAGGTTGCTGCCTCTGATCTGGGCAGCGTTGTTTCGCAGCAGAGCTTTACCGAGATCATCGACACATTCGACAACAAATTCAACACCCTGATTGTCGAACTTCTCTCCAAAATTCGCCGGCCGACGGCGCTTCAGCGTAGTAAACTGCTCAGTCTGGCAGCTCGGTAGGTTGACTCTCTTGTACCTCATGAACAATCATTTGACGTCTCTGACGATGTTGTTGCCTCTTTTTGTACGCCTTTTTACACTCAAATGTTCCCTAACCACGAGTTTGTACAAATTTCTCTACCGTTCTTGCCTGCTGGCGTTCATGACAGTGGGTGGTTCAGCTCACAAAACACTGACACAATTTTTCGGTCTGCTTTCTGATGAAAAGGACAACTTGGGCGCAGTTTCACGCCCGTTCCACAGAGAGCATAATTCCAAGTAAATTCACACACGATACTATGCAGGCTTTTGAATGGACGTCCTTCCAGTCACATGTGCCGCTGTCATTCGCGCAGTTTGTCAAATATTGCGTATTTTCCCCACAGACTTTCTCGGCGTGTATATGGTTAATCATGCTATGTAGAAAGAACACACGAAATATTCGTTTCTTTTACTTATTTTGCAGAAGATTGTGTTGTCTCCAAACCGCACACGTGAAGAGAGTGTTTTTTAAAAGCTTTGTAAATATGAGCACTTTGAGGATTTCGCGTGGTCGTTCATGCGGCCTGACACTATCAGGTTTGTTAATGTCGCTCACAAACAATGCAATGTGATCCATATTTACTGCGATTGCTATGTGAGCACCAGGGACATGCTGATTTCTGCGAACGCGTCTCCGATGCAATACATAGCACGTCCTTTGAAGGCTTAGTGATCAAATATAACATCGGCTTGCGTTTATAAACGTGCTAAAATGTGTAAACTTTTTAAAATTGAGTTATTTCCATCATTCAAACACAAAATTGGAGTATGTAATTCCCTGGAAAAGACGCAAAAACGAATTTTTTTCGAATTATTTTTACGAAAACGTTTTTAAAGAAAAAATTCACTACTTAAGTGGTCATTTTTTCTCCAAGTGACATTTTCAAAGGTGACTGGAGGGGCGCTCATTAGCCTCTGTCCTCTTTCGGGAGGTTCGCCAATGAGACTGTGATGGCCACGTGCGGCTTACCTGTCCTTTTCGGCCAGGCATGTCCCAATGCCCACACGGAATGATGTAAAAGCTGTATCCGGCTCAGCAGGTTTTGTAGCCTAAGGCCAAAGTAACAGATTAGCTGATCCAACCTTAGTCTGCTGCAGCCAGAGCTATTTAGTCAGGTGCAGGACGACGTTGACCGAATTGGGATGTGGCCGACGGAAAACCGTAACCTAACTCACATTGATCGTTCACTTCTCCTTCATCTTTACCAATAAACCCCTGGATTATTGAGAGCTTATTAAGCAGGGACCATCTGTGAAGTCGAACCTGAAGTTATGAGTGTACCCGAAGGCCTTATTTTGACCTGCAGTGTAGCCATTACAATAAATAGCACTCTCAAATTACTTTAAACCCGTTTGGTTCCTACAACGAACACAAGCCGCCACGTTACTTTTCCATGGGAAGAAAAAGGGGTAAGGTTGATCCTGCAGCTGCAGTTTACGAGCGTCATACGGTCAACCTACTTAATTATTTTTGCGTATGCGAGATTACGTTCGAATAACATATTTGAAGGCAGGGCTCCAGTTCGAGGTGAATTTAAAAACGAACTTCTGAGATGGCCTAATGAATGCGCTTGACTCTATTTCTGTTTGTGTTCTCTTTCCTTCCTAATCCGGCGCGTAGATAGGATGAGTACTTCAATGGCACTGCTCGTACTGCTTAATGCCTGCGCTATCTCTCCTACCCACTCGCGCGTGGCTAGGCTAGATGCGTCAGCGGCACTGTTAGGACGGAGTCTGCGCTAACCTAGCTTCCATTTGACCATGTGGTCACTTTCCTTCCTAATCCGGCGGGTGGCCAGGCTACGTGCGTCAACGGATCTACTCCTTTCCGACCCCACTTCGGTGAGTGCGTACGGCCAGGTTACGTCGTCGAAGGTGCGTCAGCGGGGCGCTCTGCGGGCTTTGCCTATAGGAAGAATGCCGTTGACGTATTCAAAATAACTTACTGCTTGTTGACCGTCATTAGCTGGATACCATTCTCCTACGTGCCTTGGGGAAGTTTCCCCAAATTAGCTTCACCTCGTTCAGGAGTGCTTTCGAGAACACACCCCGCCGACTTGTGTACCATTCCACTGTTACCGTGCAGTTTATGCCAGCAGAAGTCGCACAATGAATGACTTTAACTCCTTCGAGAAAAGCCAGACAGGTTTTCATTATCTTCAGCAATGTCTGCCTGCTTTTGACAAACACCACCTCAGTCCACGGTGCACACTGCTCTGCATCAACCGCATCTAAAACCATGCCTTCTTGGGTATACTGAAATTTCCAAACGTATATCCATCCGCATGCTGTCTTAATATTTGCAGTGTCATTGGTCTGCTGCATTGGGATATTTTCCTCGATATAAGCAGTCCTTTTTCTTGAAAATGCTGCACACGGTGAGACGAATTGATTGCCTCCTGAACTTAAGTAAATTCAGTGGGTTTGTCTAACTGCGCGTCCCCCTTCTGCGCGGTTTGCTCGCCTACGGTCTGCAAATGAAATACTCAAAAATATTTAATCGTCAGGATTTTATATATCCGCTTTTAAAACTCGGGACTGCGCAATGAATTAGCACTCTCAACAACTGACTTCACGGTTTCATGGGCTAATACATCATCTTAGGTATTCCTCTTTTAAATTAAAATTTATCTGACACACTTACGTTACTTCAATTGCGCTACTGCTTCCCATGACAATTTCTTCGCTTTGATCTGCACCCTTGTCTCGATTGCCCCTCATTTTCTTTGACCATTTTGCGAAGCGGCCTTGGCAATGCGTTCTCACTTCCCATCGGTTGCCAGCCTTCCCGTCGCACTTTTTCCTCATACTGAACACTACAGGAGCCTCTGCAAACTGTTCTATGTAACCTTTTGATTTTTATATTACTCATTCAAATGTAACATCTGTTAAACCATCTTCGCCTGTTCGAATTTGGTTCCCTTTGCCTTCTAACATTTCCGCCTTTCCCGTGGCCTGGCCCCGCCCTTAAAACCCATATTACCACCATTCCCGCATTAAAGGCACCTAGGGTTCCCCTACCACCGGTGGGGCTGCAGGACCAAACCCGACCGAAAAAGGCTAAGATCATTAGAATTCTAGACGAAAACACTAACCATATCAACTACCATATTAGCTATTGACTTATGAAGTCTATGTTGAGTCCTGAGCTGCTAGAGTTCGCCGAAGGCTGTTTATCATCCACTGTTCAGTATAAGTTGGCGACTTCCTCTCCTGATAGCTTGGCTTCAGTGAAATAGTTGCATTTAACAAACCGTGCTGGTTTTGGGCAGTAAGCATATACACATTAAAATAGGCTACCTCAGGATTGACCTCTACGAATCTTGTTTATGACGAAAGCGTTCTGTAACGATGGCACACTGGAAGTGAATGCAGTTAAAATCAGCTCATCAGCCTTGTTCACAATCATAAGCGGTATGCAGCCGCAGTCGATGACACTTATGCTCTGTCCGAATTATTAATAATGCCCTCTCCCTCCGATTTCACACCCCTTCCACATGTCAATCATCCCGTCTCATTCATAAATCTGTCCGACCTGTCAACCGAGGACAACCCGAACTAAGAGGCCATCAGGCAGTACGCACCGCTGTTAATAATGTGACGTCTTAAGCAATGTTTTGTTTTCGATGCTAGGTTGGACTTCAACAATTTCTACATGCAATATCCTACGCCCAGCCGACTACGCGCCAGCACCTCCCTCTCCGACTTCGGCCGATGCCTCACTGACACTGCTTCCCTGTCTGGCGGTTCGGCACTTTCCATAGACTACCGTGGCATCCCTCAGAGTGCAAAGCCAGGTTCCCAGCGTCCCCCACCAACGGCCTCCCTTCGGCGTATTGCCGGTGAGACTTCGGGCGAGACGACACCCCCCGCGGCCTTTACGCGTCCGCGGCTCGCACGAACGCCCTCCGCACTGGCCGTTATCGATCGCAGGAGCGCGAGCTCCTCGCGGAGATCCCACAAGAATAGTTTCAATTGCTGACAGTCCCCGATGCACGCCTCGTTACATACTACACCGCCACAGGAACACATATATCGCCTATGCACCACCCTCAGATCTGCTTTCTGTTTTTACTGTCATTTTTCTACTTTCTGTGTTCATGCCCTTTTTGCACGAAATTGCATGAAATGTTACCACAGACACTTTCCCGATTTCCTTTGGACTGGGAGATCGTGTTGCCAACAGACTAAGGTTCCTCCTACCGGTCGCCGAGACCTCATTTGCTGTCCAGTATCTCTCCCCACTTATTTTCAGGGGTATAGTTGTCTTAAGATGTGGGTGTACACCGAATTCTTAACTTTCGAAATCCGACACGAGTCAATGATCACCAGCAGATCGCGAAGGGCTGATGTGACTACAAAACGGCTAAGAACAGGCATCAAGTGCTTCGGGTCTATTCAGGTATCCATATCCCCCGCCTAACATCCGGGACCAGAAACATGTTACATACAATAGGCGGGCTATCCAATGAAATGATAGCCGAAATCCTGGAGTGTTTTCTATTCGAAAGAATCACTTAGCTGGGGTTGTAGCGATGGCCACCGTGCAGCATAATCCTAAAACACTTCATTCACTCCAGGATGTCGACTTTTGAATTAGCTCCCTTTCGGTCACCTAAATAACCACACTTGCTAAAAGATGACTGTATACTTTTTACTATTTACTACTTTTCCCTTCCAGTTTCGACTACCTGATAAGCTGAAATGTGCAGTGTTATTACCGACAAAGACAAGGGGGATTGGGATGGCCATTTCTGGCATATTAGCCGTCGTCAGCCGGTCATACCCAACTACGAGGTGTGAAACACCTGAGGTTCGGACGCACAACCTGTTAGTTGGAAGTCAGACGCCTCTAACCACTGAGTTACAGGCTCGTTGGCCTGTCAGTTACGATCGGGAAGGTACAATGGTAGAGGGGCGCCACCGAGTTTTTTTTTACGGAAATAACTCGTCCCGTGGTGCCTCACGGGCTCTTTCGAGCACAACCAGCAGTGGCACTAGATATAGGCAGAATATTATTAATGTCGGTCGGGTACATATTCACACAGGAGTGGCCGCGGGCCGTTTCATTTGGTACACCACCGGCCCGTCAGATCGCAGTCGTTTGTCGACGTGAGGCCGGCTAGGGATGGGACGAATAACTTGGAAACAATCTTCCCGGTACTCCTCGCCTGCTCCGACTACTATGGTTAGCCGAATCGTCCTGAGTGTTGCCTGCTCCGACCACAGTAAGTGCAGGACAGAGTTTTGATTTTGTTGTCTCTCCTGAGATATCGGGTCAGAATGTTATTGGTAGTATGACTTTTGAGCGGAACCCACCCAAATGGCCTTACGGATCCCACAATCGTTGGTGTAATCGCCTGCAATAGACCATGGAAGAGATCCCGCAAGCCCGATAAGTTTGCTGTGAAATCCCAATGAAAAGGTTCACACTTGGTTGCCTCAAATCCGCCAGGCAGTCACCTAACTGCATAGACTGCACGTCCTAACTTTCTTACAGTATTACTTTTGAACGTGCACGGTGGATCTCTTGCCTTCAAATCTTTAGTTCTGCCTGTGAACTCATCTATTCAGCCACGATATCCTGACTTATGGCCAGTTCTCACTGCAGGAACCACGACCAACGTATATTATCGTGCCAGGATGGAAGTGAGTAAGATTAAGTGGAGCGAAACCCTGCGACATGCAGCCACTGAGGTCGGACAAGCATGCCAGAGATTTCTGATGAGTTTTAAAGTTCTGATAGAAGGCATCTCTAGAATTCGTGTTCTGCCCGGTTTGCATTTGTCTCAGTTGCGGCCGACGTTAGACTGCACAATTCGCCCAATCACAGGTGCAGTGGATGGCGGCGGAAACACTCAAGCTGATTTAGCACAAAAAGCAGCATACAGCTGACGGGACATTTGGATTCACTGTAGGAAGAATAAATCTCAAAAGGAAACGATGTTATCCTCAGGTGTCTCGTCTTTGTTCACTTATTGCCTCCTCAGAGAAACTAAAGAATATCTATGCGCCGAGATCGCTAGGCAGGGAATTCCAACTGGCATGTCGATGAAGTTTGAGGGAGCCGCTCTTTCGCTGCACAATGGATGTTCAACGAAATCTAATAGTCCACTTTCTTCTCGCAGACCGAGGCAGAGATGGCACCACCAGTCGGACCCTTGTCAGCGACGTACTCACAGAGAAACTAGGGGAAGACCAGTTCCATATGAAAACGCACGGGGAACTTGATTTGGATAAATTAAACCAGGCTCACCCAGCGTCGACCTTCACACTGGAAAAAAGGGGAACTGCGCTCTTTCCCGAACGTCCTGCTTGGAACGCCTGATGAAACAATGCAATGATGTGTTTCGTAAGAAAACCTGGACACGACAATAAACAGACTTCACGGTATTGTCCCCTTGAGTCAGAAATAAAGCTTAGTCCGCGCCGGCAGTGGCCATACGATTGGCCAACCCAACCGTGTGTGTGCTCGGAGGCGTTTGCACAAGTCCTCAGGCTCCCCTGGCCGGAGCTGAGTCCTACATCCCATCACGTCGCGCTACAGCGACGAAACATAAGTATGACTCGCTGGCAGACATCAAACTCCCTGACAGAACTAGACTGTAAATGTTCCTAATGCCTGAAATCTGCACGCCATCAAACCTCTTGACTAATGAATACTATTCATAGGCTGTTTTTTCAACTCTAGCTGCCTTACTGTACAGGCCTGCGGATGAATATACGAAAACTTGCGTCCGCCGAACAAGGTTTCTTCGGTATTTAAATGGGTATCATCGCGGAAACTATAGGTTCATCTGGATGGTGCCAAGGCAAAGCGACGTTACAGGCAGTCAACAGGAAAACTAGTCCAGTACAGTATCTGGTTAGTCCAAAAGGGACAAAAATAGTTTGCAGACATTTTTGAACGACGAGGAAGAGAAAGTAGAAAAGTGTCCCAAGCCCAACAAAGCTGCAAGTGTGCGCCCACAGAAAGTTGGGTCTGGGAGACAAGTCAAGAAATGCGGACCGTCTGGTGTGTCACTGCGGCTAGACATCAGCTTTCAGGAATTCATCCGGAAGCACGACCTTCTCGCCTGGTTTGAATGCCGGCATACCACGATAGGGACAGGAGGCACACCTGAACGCATCACCCAGGTAACACTGAAAACGAAGAGAAAAGATAAGATCGTCGAAGTTTAGACACACACTGCCTATTTATTGTCTACAATTATGCGCAAGCAATCGAACTTAAATCTCCCAGAAGTCTTTAAAAATACTAAAGACCAATGGTAATGAATTGAATTTGAAACATAAGGACAACTTAGGAAGGGAACAAACATTTCCGCAGGCCGATTTGGCTCCGGCGGCGTCCTTTGCCTCCGCAGCCTCTTTAGATTCCAACTCGGCCAACCCGCAGGTGCAATTCTTGCAGGCCCGTTTCTTCGGAGCGCCTGTGGTACTGGCCACTGCTGTTGGTTCGCCACACGGTGCAGTTGGCGGCTTATCGAGGTCGGCAGCGGTCAGGAGCTGTCGCGTGTTGATCAAGCTGTCCGTTCTGCCACCCGCCACGTCATTCTCGACTGCATCCCAGACTTCGCCCAGATCGGGAGTGGCAGCTGGTGTAGGTTTAACGTTAGCCCAGGGTAACATGCTTTCTGAACCGATGGAGTAAGACAGGGGGGTTGACGCCGTCATTGTGGCCGTCCCACTCTTAGATTTTATCTGCAGGATTGAATGACGGGGATAGGATTTAGTCTGTAATCTGGTTCCAATCAACTCCTTAACTCTGTGGCTATGGAAGTTTCCAATTTGCATAAAACATGGCATCTGGAGCCTGTCCTCTGGTTGAAGTTGTCTTCACACTTCCCAGACAAAATATAAATCAAGGCATAAGATGTGCGCTCCTTTAAATATGCGTTCTTAAATTGTTTCTGGCTTAAAGGCCGTCTGCGATGTCGGTTAGGACGGCAACCTGCCAACAGCACCCGGAAGCACCGGCAAGCGGGCTGCTGTCCTGTACACGACCGTTCTGGTCGGGCATAAAACTATGAAACAAGTGCTGCCTCATTTGGCTACCCCATCCTATGATGTTTGCCTTACAAAAGCTAGGGCAGGAACGTCGAGCAAATAAACCAAGTCCACTATTCATTTACTGTCCACAATTCGCTCCTTTGTTCGCACCGGCATCGTGATTAGTTCGTATAGTCTAGCGGAGAAACATATCGGGTGATTCAAAATAAAAGTATTTGACAATAAGAGTCCTAAGGTGACTTGGAAGTTCACGTTCAAATCAAAAGAGGAGTGTCGACGAGTCGGAAAAATACGTACGAACTTGATGTCCACAAAACCCGCAAGGACTGCCGCCTTGCGAAGGGACTCAACAGCCGAGGCGAGATCGGTATCTGCATCCTCACGGGAAATTATTCGACCAGAAACGGGTAGCTCAGCGACCAAACGTGAGTAGAATTCAAAAGTGTGCTGCCCACGCTTGAAGGCTTCCGGCCAGCCCGTTAAAATGATGGTCGGTTTATGTGAGGAATCGCGGTTGGGCAAAGCTGGGCGCTGCAGATAAACTTCCAAATTTTCCATTTGAATGGCTGACTCATCCGTAACGACAGTTTTTAAACATTCCAGCATATCCTTCATTGGGGTTTCAGTTTGCGTATTTGTGGAAGAACTCCAAACTACTAGCAGACGGTCTGTTGGACGAATCAGTTTCAGTACCTCAGCATCCATTGCGACAAGACGGTTCTACAAAAAACATGAGTGAAGTATGGAACCAGGGTAAAGTCTGTGAAATCCGGTAGAGAAAAACAGTTAATACACGAAGCATAAATGTCTGGAGCAGGACACGCGGAAACGCTGATGAGTAGAATACAAGAACGTGTGTCTCAATCAAGAGCCAAATGTGCGCGCGGTATCTGTGCGACAGTGGCCCGTTAGCATGCTTGCTAATTCTTCATAGGCATACCAAGACTCCATACTGTTTTCGAGGTATTC